TTTTTTTTTTTTTTTTTTTTTTGTGGAGGTCTTGCTATGTTCCCCCAGGCTGGTCTCAAGCAATCTTCCTGTCTCATCCTCTCAAATTACTGGGATTATGGGTGTGAGGCACCATGCCCAGCCTCAATCTCTCTATGCCTCAGTTTCCTAACCAGTATAATGAAGGTAATAATACAGGTCCACAGTCCCTTATTTAGTATCTTTGGGGCTAGTTGTTTTAGAATTCAAAATATTTCAAATTTTATTTTATTTTAGTTTATTTTGAGTTGAAGTCTCACTCTGTCGCCCAGGCTGGAGTGCAGTGATACCTCACGGTCACCCCAGCGTTGACCTGCTGGGCTCCGGTGATCCTTCTGCCTCAGCCTTCCAAGTAGCCAGAACTACAGGCACATGCTACCACATCCAGCTAGTTTTTTATTTACTGTAGAGACAAGGTCTCACCAAGTTTGCTGGGCTGGTCTCAAACCCACGGGGCTCAGGCAATCCACTTGCCTCAGCCTTCCAAAGTGCTGGGATTACAGGCTGAGCCACCAAGTCCGGCCAATATTTCATATTTTATACAGGTAATATAATACATATAATATACATTAAATAAAGCCCCAGTGGGGTCTGAGGTACATTAATCAAATACATTAATACTTCAGCCAAGCACAGTGGCTCATGCCTGTCATCCCAGCACTTTTGGAGGCTGAGGTGAGAGGATTGCCTGAGCCTAGTGTTCGAGACCAGCCTGGGCAACTTGGCAAGAATTCATTCTACAATAAATCAAAAAACTTAGCCGGGCGAGGTCATGTGTGCATGTAGTTCCAGCAACTTGGAAGGTTGAGGCATAAGAATCGCCTGAGTCCAGCAGGTTGAGGTTACGGTGGCCGTGAGCATGCCACTGCACTCCAGTCTGGGTGACAGTGAGACTCTGATTCAAAAATAAAATAAAACAAACAAAAAAATTAGTATTTCTGTAATGAAAGGTACAAGTAATGACAGTAAGTTGGACAGAAACCAGAAGACAGCTTATTGAGATTTGATTTTGCTCCTTAACAAGTTATGAAATGTCCTTTGGTTTCCAAGCTTTTTGGATTCTGGAAAGGCAATCTAGAGGCTGTAGATCTGCAGTACTTAGCTTCAGGGTTGTTGGGAGGTTTTGATAAATCGATATAAAAGCACTTAGAATGGCCTGGCACACAGCACTACACAGTCTCCTAACATGACACAGTTAACTCCCCGCAGCCATCTCTCTCCCTCCAGCATTCATACATCCCTGATCTGGTTTCCTTTAAGAAGTCACAGGCCCTGTCCCCACACAAGGAGTTGTGGGACCAAATAGCAAATGACCTGGGAGAATCCGCTGGCCCAGTTGTTGCCAGCTCCTCCTCCATGCTCTGACAGGTAGATGTTCTCCGGGTTGTAGAGCTTGGCATAAGGGGAGTTGAGGATGGAGTGGATCACCCGAGGCTCCAGGTCCAGCAGCACTGCCCGGGGGATGTAGTGCTCATCATCTGCCTGTCAAGGGGGGTCCAGGAGGGGTCCGATCAGCCAGGGTAGGCCAAGTCCTAGGTCCTCCCAACTCTGGCTCCCTCTGGCCCTCCCTCCTCGGACCAGCGCCTGGTCCCTCTGCCCAGCGGGTTTCCCAGTATCAGGCCACACCCTTCCCTCCAGGCCCCCTGGGCCACAGCCGGCCCTGGTCGAGTTGCTGGGAGCACCTGGTAGAAAAAGACATCCTTGCGGTCAGTGCCCTCGGTGGCGAACTCCTCCACGATGCCCTCGGGACTGATGCCATGCTCCGCGCACAGTTGCTTCCAGAACTCGAACCCAACTGGGGGGAGGAGGGGGGCGGGGGAGAAAGAGGATATCTGGGTCTGAGCGGGTTCCAATTAGGAGCTGGGCGACAAGAGATCAGGGCGCAGAAGTCGCCCGTGTCCGAGGAAAGGGCTATGCGCCAGCGACTGGGCGCGGGGGGGGGACTCTCGGGGCTGGGCAACAGGACGCTGGGTCAGGGACGTCCCGCCTCTCAGAGAACCACGATACTGGGAAGGGGAGATGGAGTTCAGAATCCCACAGTGAGATCCCACTGAACTAAGTGGCGGGGCCGGAGATTCGCTCACTCTGATTGCCGCACTGGCCCAACTGTAGGGTGATGATTTCCCTCGGCATCGCTCCTCAGGCACCGGCGTTGCAGCCGCTCCCGCCAGCAGCGCCGCCGCTCGCCTGCCCGCTCGCCGCAACACGCAGGCGCCAAACGATCCGCTCCGCCCACGAACTTTCTCCGCTCCAATGAGAACCGAGTCCTGGCAATGGCACGTCCACATTCATTTGGCTTCTCTCATGCGCACTGCGTTTGCGCGACCCGGGATTGGGCTCTGCGCCCCCGCGCGGGGCTGTGCTTTGATGCAGCGTCTTCCGCCGCCGGTGGGTGGCCGCGCGCCGGAGCCTGTGCGCATGTGCGCGGTGGTGAGACCGGGCCTCCCCCGCCCCTGGCTGGACGCGCGCCGGAGCCTGTGCGCAAGCGCGCTGTGGTAAGTCCGGGCCTTCCCCGTGCATGGGTGGACGCGCACCGGAGCCTATGCGCAAGCGCGGTATCGTGAGCCGCGGCCTCCCCCGCCGAGTCGCGCGTCTGCGCAATAGCTGTTATTGTGACTGGGACCGCGGCCCCGGATGTTGTGGCTGCCCGGCGGAGATGGCGGAGGCCGAGGGGGTGGCCGCGGCCCCTGGCCCGGGTTCGGGGTCAACTCTGAGGAGCTGCCGCGCTATGTCGGGCTCCGGGGAGCGGGGCCAGCAGGTTGAGGCGGCGCAGCGGGCCCTGGTGGAGCTGCTGGGACCGTACGAGCCTCTGCTGAGCCGGGTGCAGGCAGCCCTGGTGTGGGAGCGGCCAGCCAGGAGCGCCCTGTGGTGCCTCGGGCTGAACGCGGCGTTCTGGTGAGAGAACTGGGCCCTCGGAAGCCCCCCGGGACGCGAATTCGTCAGGTTTCTTTGGGGCTCTGCCTCTCGTCGGCCCTGTGGTCTCCGCTGCATTGGCTCCTTACTGTACTTGCCTCACCTCTTCCCCTCCATCCCGCCCCCAGGCTTGGGCACCCCAGTGCCTCCCGGGGCCTTCCCCGGTCCCCCCTGCTTCACGTGCGGTCGCGCCCCCGCTCCCGCCTCTGGCAGGAGCTTCTGGTAACAGAAGCGAGCGAGGGCGCCTCTCTCGAGCCACGGAAAACAATGGCCCCCTAAGGCCGTCACCTCTCTTCTCTGGTCTGCTCAAGTGTGGGTGGAGGGCTGTGTTGAGACATTTTAGTAGTTATTGTTGGGGTAGAGGCATGAGGTCTTGCACAGGTGTCCCTCGATGTGATAAGAAAAGCAAGCCTGAGCGACTCGCAGGAATCCGCGTGTCCATGTACCAGGGAAGGAAGTTTGAGAAGTCGGAGCGTCGGTGGAGCCTCCAGAGCTGCAGCTTGAAAGATGATGACAAGCTTTGGAAGAGCAGTTAGGGCATGCGGGTTGTGAGATTTCACCCATTTTTACAGCCACTTAGGATTGTATTTCCTCTGTGTTCCAAGAAGTTAGAGAGGCTTCCTTAGCCACGGTGTGTACGCCAAGAAGTTGAATGTCTATTAGGGTGTGTGAGCTTTCCCGAGCTGGAAAAGTGTCACTATAAATATGCTTTAAGTATCTGTCTGTGTGTGTCATGCTTTGTGAAAAGAAAATTGCTGCTCCTGTTAGTCGTCACCTAAAGGGGACTTAGGTCTTCATAGGATCTACTCAGCATAGTTTGCATTTATTCGTAATTGGGCACATTCCAAGAGAACAGACCTGTCGGGAGGCTTCTGCAACTGAATGAAATAAGACTGTTCTGGGTAAACCTGAAACAAAAAGTATCTGTGGGTTTTTGTTTGTTTTTTATGTGTTTGCTAAAACAGCTCTCCACTTAAATGCTTGGTTTTAAAATGAAAAGATTTATTATCTTTTGTCTGAAAGAAGATTTTCAGTGAGCTAGAACAGAACAAATAATTTCCAGGTTCATTGATCCGAAGACAGTATTCGACTATTAATTTAGTCCTCTCGCAGTCTGAAGGAGACCCAGTTAAAGCTGTCACAGCAGTCAAGCATTTGTTGCTTCCAGTCTTCAGCAGACTTGAAGATGAAATTTTTCTAAACATGCTCCACTTATTTTTGGCCATGCTTCTTTCAAGACTCCCAGGGTCCGACTTCCCTCCCATTATTTGCTTTCAGAACCCTGAACTACAGCACCTCATTCAGGAGTGTTCCGGGCAGAACTTCATTTCCCGCAGTGGGCTTGGTACCCCTAGGAAGAAGTTTGGTCTTCATTAAGCTCAAGTGTATCAAAGTGTGACTGAGTGATGAAAAACACTTTATCAGGGTTTAAATAAACGTTAAACCAAAGGTTTATTAGTGCACATGAATCGGTAGCATATGTTATTTTTGAGGAGGGAGTTTTTCATGTGCTTTTGTCTGGGAGAGATCTTTTAATCAGAATGGAGGTTGAGATCTGCACATAAGGAGCTGCTCTGACAGGGTATGTCTTTAAACATTACAGTTAGCTTTAATTTGCTGGCCCTCCCAGTGTTTATTAATATGCTTTGTTTAGGGGCTCGCTCAGAACCCCCTTTTATTTTTTTTTGATTTATTGTAGAGATGAGGTCTCGCCAAGTTGCCCAGGTGGGTCTCAAACCCACAGGCTCAAGCAGTCCTCTCACCTCAGCCTCCCAAAGGCGTGGAATTACAGGCTGAGCCACTGAGCCCGGCTAGAACCCCCTTTTATACTCTGGGTCTCCTAAAGTGTTGTAAATGGTCTTTTTCTTTGGCATTTCCTGGTAGCTTGCCTGCAGTATATCCAGAGCACAGTTACCCTTGTTCCATTCTCATCACACTGTTAAAAAGGTGGGGAGAAGGCCAGGTGTGATGGCTCAAACCTGTAATCCCAGCACTTGGGGGCAGATGTGAGAGAGGATTGCCTGAGTCTAGTGGTTCGAGACCAGCTTGGGCAACATGGTGAGACCTCATCTCTACAATCAAAAAAATTAGCCATGCGTGATGGCACGTGCCTGTAGTTCCAGCTACTTGGAAGGCTGAGGTGGAAGGATCACCTGAGCCCAGCAGGTTGAGGCTATGGTGACCATGATCATGTCACTGCACTCCAGCATGGGTGACAGAGTGAGACTCCAACTCAAAAAAAAAAGTGGGGAGAGAGACAGCAAAATGAGAATGTGACTCTTGACACTGAAAGGACAGATGGGTATGCCATTTATGGAGAGGACTGAGTACCTATGAAGGCTATGGCTAGTAGTCCCCTAGGGTTGTCTGACACTGGAGTTCACAGAATTGTTTGGGGGAAATTACCTTGAAAGGTAATTTGAGATTTAAAATGAAGGTGGGGCTGGGTGCGGTGGCTCATACCTGTAATGCCGGCACTTTGGGAGGTGGAGGCGGAAGGTTCATTTGAACCCCAATAGTTTGAGACCAACCTGGGCAACATAGCAAGACATCGTCTCTACAAAAATAAAAAAGGAAAGACTTCACATTTCAATAGTGTCATAGTGAGTATGAGTGTTGACCTTTCACTTAGGAATGTTGAAGAGGAGTGTTTGGTTTTCAAACATTTTAAATGTTTAGGCAAGGGAGGAGAATCATTAGCTCAAATCAGAAAAATCAAATCTGAAATAATTTTCCTTTCATTACTTGTTTTGAATAATGACAGATCATTAACAGGTTTTTAGCAGCTTTTAATTTTCAGTGTTCTGTATTCTCAGTCATAGTTTTTCTGTATCTGTGAATGTGTCCTCTTACATCTTTTTTTTTTTTTTGAGTCAGGTTCTCTCTCACTCTGTTGCTCAGGCTGGAATGTAGTGCAGTCACACGATCATGGCCACTGCAGCCTTGACTTTTGCTGGGCTCAGGCAATCCTTCCGTCTCAGCCTTCCAAATAGCTGGCACTGTAGGTGTGTGTCACCATGCTGCCTAATTTTTTGATTTATTGTAGAGATGAGGTCTCACTATGTTGCTCAAGCTGATCTTGAACCCCTGGGCTCAGGCAGTCTTCTCGCCTCTGTTTCCCAAAATGCTGGGATTACAGGCATGAGCTACTGTGCCCGGCCTTTACATCTTTAAAAAAAAGAAAAAAAGAAAATCGAAGATAGTGAAAGATGTAGATACCTTGTCTCGATAGGCTTTTACTCTTCCAGATTCCAGAGAAATTATGGTGGCCAGATCAGAGATCTTCCAGTTTGTTTGTTTGTTTGTTTGTTTTTAGTTGGAGTCTCACTCTGTCGCTCAGACTGGAGTGCAGTGGCCGCTCCTGGCCACCGCAGCCTTGCCTGCTGGGCTCCAACGATCCTTTGCTGAGCCTTCCGAGTAGCTGAAACTACAGGCGCGTGCTATCACACCTGGCTAATTTTTTGATTTATTTTAGAGATGAGGTCTCGCCAAGTTGCCCAGGCGGGCCTCGAACCTGCGGGCTCAGGCAGTCCACTCACCTCAGCCTCCCAAAGGCACGGGATTTACAGGCTGAGCCACCGAGCCCGGCTCATCTTCCAGTTTAGATTACTTCTGATCAGTGATCTGTTATTACCTCTAGACATGTCAGACAGACCTTCCCTTTCAATAGCTTGTCTTTTCATTAGCCTCAATGTAAATGAGTGATTTGGGGGAAGAATTTGAGAGTCAGCAAGCATGGATCCTGATAGGATCAGAAAAGCATAGCTTCAAGTAACTATTTTTTTGGGGGGGTGGGGGGTATAGTCTTAGTCTGTCACCCAGGCTGGAATGCACAGCTCACCTCTGCCTTGATCTCCTTGACTCAGGTATTCCTTTGCCTCAGCCTCTGGAGTAGCTGGGACTACTGTCCCGGGCCATCACACTTGGCTAATTTTTTGATTTTTTTTTTGTTAAGACAAGGTCTCGCTATGTTCCCTAGGTTGGTCTTGAATTCCTGGGCTTAAGCAGTCCTCCTGCCTCGGCCTCCCAAAGTGCTGGGATTACGGGTGTGAGCCACTGTGCACAATCAGCTTTATAAAATTTTATTTTATTTATTTTTTATTTCAATAGCTTTAGAGGATACAAAATACAAATAGTTTTTGGTCTGGTCACATTATTGATTTGACTCATACTTGGAGCTAAGGAGAGGATAAATAGCCCTGGAAATGTGTGTGGACTCCAAGCTTCCTCCCCCACTTCCTTGAAGACCATGTCATTCAAGGAGGGGCTAGATTGACTGCTGAGCTCCTTTCCAGTTTTTTTTTTTTTTTTTTTTGCGTTGAGGGTCTCACGCTGTCACCCAGGCTGGAGTGCAGTGGCATGCTCACGGCCACCGAAGCCTCAACCTGCTAGGCTCTGGTGATCCTTCCGCCTCAGCCTTCTAAGTAGCTGGAACTACAGGCGCGTGCTACCACGCCCGGCTAATTTTTGGTTTATTGTAGAGATGAAGTCTCGAACCCGCGGGCTCAGGCAATCCACTCACCTCGGCCTCCCAAAGCACAGAATTACAGGCTGACCCACCAAACCCGGCCGAGCAAATGTTTCTAATGATAATCTTTGGGGGGGGGGGGTTTGTTGTGTTTGGTAACCAAGAAGACTCCCCAAAAGGCTTTGGTTTACTTTGCCTCTCTCTGCCTTCAGTTTTTACTTATTTATTTATTTCTATTAATATTTTTAATGTTTTTTAGAGACAAGGTCTCGTTCTGTCACCCACGCTGGAGTGCAGAGCTCACTGCCGCCTGGAATTCTTGGGCTTGAGGGAGCCATCCTCCCACCTCCCACCTCGTCCTTCCAAAGTGCTGGAATTACAGACATGAATCACCTTGTCTGACCTGCCTTCAGTTTTTATCTTCTCTAATTGTAAGGTTGGGTGCTTTCTCACCATTACTAGCAGCTAGCTGGTTTCATTTCAAGTTGATTATAAGCAACAGTTTGTCACGACA